AAATCAAAGCTCAAACCCTTAATTCTCAAACTGCACACACTCTTACTACGAGACAAAAAACGTTATGACATGAACAATGCCACAAGTAAGCCTAGTAGCACAATGTCACTGGTTAGACATTCCTTGTCTAAGGACTGAATTGAAACAGAAGGAACGGCGGAATGCAAACACGCGGGAAATGCGAAACTGGAGACAAGCCACTGACCTCTGCGTATACAAGTGAAATGAAGCGACAGACCAGAATATATAGTGGCAGACGACTATAGTCTGTATGATGGAACCTGTCTCCTGACTCCGTACAGTCCTGGAGTAGGGAAGACAGTGCTTAACGTAGTTTTTTCCTTTTAATATCGCGTTATGAAAAAGTCAAATTGTAATAGAGTGTTACAATCTATACTGTTCTCATGTAGCGGGTTTGCTCTTATTTATACACAGGTTTGGATAGAAGCCCAATGAAGTAGTGTGTTGAGTTTCATGTTGTTCTTCACATTACAAAATTTATTTAAGGTGTTAAAATCTTCCTTCTTCTAAGTGCAGTTATTATATTTACTAAGGAGTTATCACTCCTTTTTATGTTGATTCTAAATTACTAAAACTATGTGACCTAAGATCAATACAAATTCTTATGATAACCTATTCAATATTAAAAACAAAATTTCCAAAATATTTTTTTAACGACTTCAAATTTGTAGCTGAAGAAAGTGTAAGAAACTCACGTTCTGCTTCAGTAACTTTGCGTATGCCTCATCATAGAACGGCAGTTTATGACAGAGCGTTTGTTGTTTCTGCTTGTCGCCTTTGGAATGATCTCCCTCTAGCCATAAAAACCCTTGATAGCCGTCCCCGGTTTGTGACAGCACTAAAAAATCTGTTTTCTGGACGTATGGCCATGGTTGGTATATCCTAGGCGTGCGCTTGGTTGATCACTGACAGGTGTGCGTGTGTGTGTGCTAGTTCTTGCGAGTGTGTGTTGTGTGTGTGCGTGTACGTGTGTAGGTGTGTGTGTGTGTGTGGGTGTTTATGTAAGGTGGTATGTTTTAAAAGTGTATTGTTTATTTTTACATTAAATATTGTAAATAGATTATAGTATTTTATTTGTATTGTACATTGTTTTGTTTTATTTGTATGTTTAGATTTGTATAAACAGGTTAAGTGTAAGAGAGGGCCATGTGGCCCTAACTTTGCCTGACTAAATAAATCATTTTCATTTCATTTCATTTTCATTTCAATATTACTAACTAGTGCTATATTGTGGTGGTCTACGAAAAAGTATAGGGATAATGTACTGTTTGTTATTGTGAACTGTGTGAAGGTAATGAAACAAGGAAAAAAGTTATTCTTAATAAAAAACAAATAATTTTATTTATCAACTGAATTTACTAAATTCATGTAACTGCATTATTTCTTTGGGAGAAATCTCGTATTCATTACGTTAAATTTAAAATGGTTTGAGTAATGAACGCTTTATTTTGTACGTTAATTCATACTAGTGGTCAGTGGTCGAAAACTCAACCAACAATTTATTTAACATTTGTTATCACCAGGTTTCTAATTGCAATATTTAATAAGTTATATACAAGCCTACGCCAACTAGATAGTACAATGTTGTGGTCTTAAATTTGTTTTTTAAGTTTAACCTTGAACGACAACCATTTTAATTTTATTTAAAGTAATTTCTCTACGCTAAGTGTTTTGACTATGCGTTTTTAACTATCCCGTTTTTACTTGGCTGCCTTTTAACTGTCGCTATTACTATGCTGTATTCAATTTTCTTTATTTAAAAAGGGCTCTCCTGTCTGAATTGTTTCTTCCTTATGCAGTTATGATCCTTGGGTATATAGTTGATGAAATACACAATATACTTTATGTTGTGTTGTTTATTCCGAATCATGTTGACAATAATATTGTGAAAAGGTTAAAATACCTGTAACTGCCTCGTGATTCCTCTGTACCTTTACCCCTTTAGCTAGATGGACGATGCCCTAAAGAAACCTTTTCAATTACCATTTGTCACTCCACTAAAACACAAGTTTTCGATTGTCACCTTACTCATAAGGATCGGTTAAGTGGGACAGGCGAAAAAAGGAATCCCCAACATACAGAGAACCCCCCTTATTGAATGAGTTATTTTGATAGAATATGTTAAATGACAATTAAAATCTACGCGCGTTTTAATGCATTTGCATCATCATCAGGTCACAAAACCTGAAGAACGAAACCATTCTTGAATTGGTCGTGTCAAATTTTACAAGAATTACACAAAACATTTAAATATAGGATATAGGCCTAGGTGCAGGGGAATCACAAGGCAGTTACAGGTATTTTAACCTTTTTACAATATTATACAGTATAATATACTTTAGTTAACAATTATATTTAGACTGACCTGGTTAAGGTTTTGGCAAAATCGTCAGGGTGAAGCAGTATAGTCAGTACGCTTTAACCGTGTCTAAATTAATCCACGTTGATCTTTATTCAACTGCAGATAAACAAACTGTAATTGGGAGTCCAACATCTTTGGGGTATATCCATAGTCAAATGTACTTTGCTCTAACGTCCATGCCAGAACAGTGTTGTCCTCATCTCCTTGGACCTATCTTGGGAGCTGACTCCAGTCCTATGTTACACCTAGCCCTGCCCTATACTCTGCTCTCCGTTCGTCGCCTACATCATGTTTATGAGCTCCACATCATACTCGGTGATGGCGGACTTAACGACCAAGGCCACGTACATAAACTAACATATTAGCGTAAATCAGGCACTGCTCACGTTCTAGCTATAGGATTTGCAGTAAAATCGAGACTAGATGGAGTTTTTCTAATAGTTCGTAGTAAAATAGGCATAGTATACTTCATGAGATTTTTTTTACAGAATCAGTTTTCATTCACAGATGTTCTAGTATCTAGTAGTTTATTGAATATAAATATACAACCGGAGCAAATCGCACATTTCAACAGGGTTCGATAATCGTTTGCAACGCAAAATTTCACCTTTAGGTGAAAAAACTACTAATTTACAACAAATTAAAATTTTGGTAGATCTACACAATAAAGAGTGTTTTGACTACCTCAACCAGGTTAGAATCATCACTAAAAGTAGGCAGTTTAAAATTATTCATCTTCATAAACGGTTTCGTACCTTGTTTACAATACAACTCTGGTTAAACATTAAACTGTAGGACCAGCTGTTAAATTAAAATTAAAACTGTTATAAAGAAAGTTGGTCATGATCACTGGATGTTTGAAGACAAAGTCAAAATAAAACACTAGATGGACGATGACCTAAAGAAACCTTTTCAGTTACCATTTGTCACTCCGCTAAATCACAAGTTTTCGATTGACACCTTAATCGTAACGATCGGTTAAGTAGGACAGGCGAAAAAAGGAACCCCCAACATACAGAGAACCCCCCTTATTGAATGAGGTATATTGATAGAACATGTTAAATGACAATTAAAATTGCATTCCAACAACAAACGAAAGAGAAATTTAAGCAATTATGCACATTGTAAAAATATTCCGCAATTGATTGTCAGGCAAGTCTATGATATGGATAATAAACTGAACTAACAAAGGCATCCAACATATATATTGAAAAAAATCGAAAATTTTAGTAATATCTGTAATTAAGATTTATTTGTCTTGTAATATTTATAATAAATAATCAATGAATGGAAAAAAAATTTCAAGAGTGTCCAGTAACAAAAATAGAATTATAGATAGTATTTGACTTAAGTTATTTAATTATTAATTTTTATTTTAAGGTACAGTAAAGCAAATATAGTTTTAACTTTCTGTTTATTTATTTGATTTGTTATCGGTTATAAGAAGTACGTTTATTTATATAATATAAAATTGCGGGTTATACACACCTTCTTCGGCGAAACATAAAAAAGCGAAACTTCTATTTAAAGAAATTCAGAAAGAAAAATCTGTGATAAGTAACAATGATTGTCTATCCATCAAAGATTCCTTATTTAAACTGTTATTAATAAGCATATAGAAGGTAAGACAAAGAATAATCTTAGAAACAAATGTTCTATTTCATTTACAAGCGTTAATTAAACTAATAAAAACACCGTTTTTAAACGCGTTAATCTAACTACAAAAACTATATAAAAATACCGGTGCTTAACTATCGGTACGCTGTTTACCATTAGGTTAAGTTTACTTGATCCCTAATTTTAAAGGTTTTATAAAAAATACTATACAAATATAGAGACGTGGTGGATAGCAGATTCGTTAGTACAACAAAATGTTTACGAAAATTATGTTGAAATATTAATAGCTTTTTACATACTACTTAATAGTTGTCATTAAGATATTCTAAGTATTGAGGTGCACTTTGTTTTGCTTGCATGGATTTATTAACTAAAGGAATTAATAGACTAAAGAGACGAAGAAGCTGTTCGGTTCTTTGACCGGCATCTCTACTACCAACCGTTGAAGTCTCCGAACTCTACAAAGCAAAAGTTGCTAACGCTGCGGTTTATACGACATCAATCATTTTTGCCTTAAATAAATTTATGACAGTACTCATTATAACCACATAAGTGACACATTGTAAACCATTCTTCAACACATAAATTAGTAAATCTGTATATAGAATAGTAACCATTATTACGTTTATTGTGAGGTGTGAAGAGTATAAAGAGTAAAAAGCGTGTTAGGATCTAGCCATGTATGGTTTTGAATATAATTAATTATGTTTCAATCTTAATTTGTATTCCGACGTAATCGAGATCCATACATTTTTTGTAACTTAAAAAGTCTAATCAGGCATTCTAACATTAATTCATCCCGGTAAAAATAACCACTTAAACCCAGCGCACCGTGTTAAGTTCTACTTTAAATTGGTCTTATCCTATTGATTTAGAATCGGTTGTAAAGCTATAACTTTATATTGACATCCTAGATAGTATATCTTAAAACGAACACCCCCTTGTAAACTAAAATGTTTTAAGCTTGACTTAAACTACAAAGCACAACGTAAACTCCTACCTGTATTTTGGTAAAATCCTTGCACGACACACAACAGTCTGTTAGCGGACACGGTATCCTACACTTCACACACTCACGGCACGGCAGCACAGCAGAACGGCACGGTACAGCTACTCTCTAGCTTGAACGACGCCGGTGTGTGCGTTAGCCGCTGAGGCAGTCACCCCCTCCACCGACTACCAGTGACCAACCAGGGCCTACAGACCTAGTTTATCCCCTCCACACCCCCCACCACCCTCTGACGGCGACCTTGAGGGGCCGTGGACCCGAGCACACCTGACCCACCGCCGGAACGCACCGGCCGTCCTTCCGACACTTCCTGTTTTACGGTTTTAACGGTTAAGTTGATTTCCCAGTGCATCCGATGGGTCACTATGGGAATTGAACTGAGGGGTGTAAAAGTGGAATCTTTTTTGTCATAGGGGTTTTATTTTTGTACCTGTACTTGTACTATTCAAACACGCAATTTTGTAATACTATGTGTCATGGTCCTTATAATTCGAAACAAAATAGTGCAACCCCCCATTGCTGTCACAATCAAAAGTTATTGCAACATTTGGGTTTTACCTATAAAATATCATAGTTATTAAAGATTGTTGACCAGCTTACGGCAGAAAGTATGACTCAGATTGCTGATGCCGTTTATTTTAATGGAAACTATACTTTCAACATCAGGTATTTCTCAAGAGTACATTTACAATACTCTCTTAATATCGCCAGACTCAACAATATCTCTTTAAAGACAAAAATACACAAACAATTTATATATACCATGTGTGTGAATTGTACAAGTAATAGGAACGGATAATTTTAGTTGAAATAATTTGAACATTTGATTACTTTTAGATGGGCGGATCCTGACTCCATAATGATTACCAAATAAGGATTAAACAGGATCACTCGAGCAGATTAATGTAAAATTTCACCTTTTATTCATTCACTAGCAGTTACCCGGCGCGCGTTGCTGCGCTAACTACTATTATTTTAAATAATAATTTGTTCCTTACGTTAAATTATAAAAATCTATACCAAAAACACAAATAGAATATTTATTTTACTTAATTTCCAGTGTTAAGTAATGTTTTTTGTTTTTTCATTGGGTGTATAAATATATAAGTTTTTTGCGTACCTACCACCACGTGAGCACGCAACATACAGCTGTCCGTGTGGAAAGCATGTATTTTCTAAATTTAAACCAGCGATAGTTAGGGATTGCCCTTGTGCCTTATAATGGTGATTGCGAAAGCAAGACGTAAAGGAAATTGTAGTCGCTTGAATTCAAAGGGTAATTGGGATGAAAACATCAATGTTCTTGGGATTAAGAATATTTCTCCTTTAAACACACCACTGATGATTGTTGCTTCGCTAAAGTTTGGTGTCATTTTTTAAATCGTCGGTCTAGTTCCGTTGCGCAGCTTGGGTGGATTTAAATTTCGCATTAATATTATTGGAGTTCCTTCTTTTAAAGACATTAATGTGGGGAGTTAATGACAAAATGGGAGGCATTTGAATACCTGAGATAGCACGCACGATTATTATTCACTGAATAATTTATGTTAGATTGTGTGGGTATAGAACAAAAGATAAAAATATTAAAGCATTGCTATCCCTTTTATTGTTTATGATACTTTAATAAAGGTTTTTACTTTTTCTGTTTACATATTTCATAGTGGAGAATTTAAACGTTGTTGAGTGCACAGGTGTAATGCGATTGGGGTTTAATATATTTTGACTTATCCAAAAGTAAAACAGTTTTCTTTGCTGCATTCTGTGGACACAGTGGGGCACAATTTCAAATCATGACTAATACAGAATGTTGTGATTATTCAAACCTACAAAACAGTTGGTGAAAGTAAACATCTGCTTTTAAATTATATTTATTTGTAAACATTCCATTGTATTATTTGTAGTTCCAAAAGTCTGACATTGGAACCCTTAAAAACCTTCTGGGGTGGAGCCCTTTTGACGTATCTGCAAGTAGGCTACAACATTTAAATAATAATTTGGTTGGTTATATATTCACACGAAAAAAACTTTGGTTGATGGGAATTGTACCCGTCATTAATATTTATAGTAAATAATGGTAAATAAACGCATTTGTGCCATAATTTATGCTTTGGACCAATGTAGCCATTTAAAGGTACAAAAATTTATATCAAAATCTTATTTAAATCAGGTTTTTGTAATTTTGCCTGGAATATATTTTTTAATTTAACGCAAAAGATCCGACGTATTTTGTAAAATGTCGCTCAAAGAACACGTATTTTACAGGCAAAGGAAGAGCAAAGTACAGTGGCAGTTGGTGACTGTTGGTGAAAGACTTTACGGATTGTTGAAAAAATAACCTCATATGTACCAACAAAATATGCTCAATATGTCAATCACATACTCTGGCAATGTTTTCTAGGTAATAAACCTTTTATGAACCTAACCAATACACGTTTACCTTTTTACCATCCAACATAAAAATGCATAACTGTTCTTTATTTACGTACAACAACATCACCACGGCCATAAGGTTAGAAAGCGGCCTCTTCCCCGTTTTAAAGGCTATAACAAAAACTCCGTATGCTCGCTGCAGTCGACCTGGGATTTATATAACCCTGTTTCAGCTTCCAGTTTCACTGGTTATGTGCAAAAACAGACTCCAAATATCCGCGGAACGCGCCCAGACTTTCCCACAAACACAGGGACCATTAGCTTTTGATTCCTCGGTCTAGCTCGGTAATCAACATTCTATCGCACTACATGTTGCTTTTATTGATGTCTTTATATAGATGAATTAGATCTTGGAATTATAGAATTAGTACAACGCTTGCGTTACGTGTTACAGCACGGATGGCATGTAGACTTTTAGAGTTTAATAGTGTCGTTGACTTTTTGATATTGTCGGAGTTACGCCTTTCGGAGCAACGCCTGGATCTCTAGGACTAGTACTATCATTGAATGTTCTTACTCAAGTAGACATCCCATGAACGTAGTTGAATAGGATTGTTATCATTGCACGTAGTTGAGTGACAGAGTGTACAATGTACAAATATTTCATTACTCATTATTTGTTAGTGTCAGAGTTGACGCAGCATGAGATACTATAGTTTATAACAAACTGTTATTTCGGATTGGCTTGGTTAAAAAGGTGACGGATCTGAAAAAAATCAACCCACGGTTGCTGTGGTTAACCACGAAAACATTCTACAGAAACATATGGGTTCTAAGTAGCATTGAAGGAATCAAACTCCTTTTTCTTATTTATCTCTTCTAATTCGTAATTTGCATTTTAAGTGAATTAATCTTTAAGACAGGAAAATTTTAATGTGAAATAATTATTCAATAACCAGGCAATGTTAATTTTCATCCGCCATCTCAACTACCGGCCGTTAAAGTCTCCAGCATGAAGTATTTGTTTAGGAAACGACAATATTCACCAGTGCTTATTTCTAGCACTACATTTTTGCTAGATAACTCACTTAATGGTATTCGAACTTTTAAACACTATATTTCCAGCGGCTTTGTGCAAGCAGCCAGCTGTGTCAGCAACAGAAGCAACGGTTGCGGAAGCCAACCACGTCGCCTACGACGACTTAAATATGATATTTTCACCTCCACTTCCTCCTACACCATGGGAACCGGCGTCGTTTGACCTGACTGACCTTGCCTGATAAGATCTTATCAGCCTCGTGTCCGCCTCCGCCCGTCAACCGTACGCTGTACAGAGATCTGGAGAGCAGCAGTGCGTAACTCTGGAGTCTCCGCGTGTATCGCACCATCTACAGCCATATTTGTACCATAAGACGTGAGCTACGGCCATGAGATCTGTGATGCAACCAGAATACGATAATATAGCTGTGTTGTTTGATGGATTATTGTGGATGTTTGTTTGTCATGTTTTGTGGCTGAGGTACTGTATTAACTATTAATTATATGGCCCTATTGATGGCTGCTTGATGGACTCGTTATTTTTGCATATGGTTCAATGTAGTCATTTCGTGACTTGAGGTTTCATTTTTAGTGAAATACTCTCAACTAGAACGTTTAGTTCATCATAATACTCAATAAAATTGTTCATACACCCGTTGGGGTTTACATCTAGGTGTTTTGGCGTTTGTTGCTTAAAGCTCCCATCGCTTGCGTTGTTGAAAAAAGCTTGCATTATTTAATTGTTTAATTTATGTAAGACTCGATATTTTGCTTCTTAATTTTATATTTTGCGCTTAGCTTGTAGCTTTCATCGGAAGGGTTTGGTTGTTTACAGTAAGCGAAATGTCTCATTAATGATGGCTGGTTTAATATAACACTAACGTTTTAGCGTTGCTTAAAGGCCCCATTAGTATGGGTTTTGTTTAATGGAGGCAATTTTCGCTTTTTGTTTTTTTTATGTGCGCTACTGAGATAGATGGTAAAAAAATTAAATATTGAAATCGGTAATGACAGTACGTCATGTGGTTGTATTCTGGAGGTACCACAAAGTTAATGATTGTCAATTGACATTTTCTCCTTGTTTATTGTATGAGCAAAGCTGGAAAAATAACTTTGTAAAGAGATCATGTTTTCACGATGTTTCGGGATTTTGTATTTGACCCCTCCACAGGTTAAAATGTACCCAAAACATACGAAAGCCCAGATAGTCCCACTGTTGGATAAAATATAGTCAACTGGAACTGATTCAATTAAAATCACTCACACTAGAAGGTAAACACAAACCATTCACTCCACTATATCAGCTTACAAGCAGAGAGGCGTGGATTTAAAACTCGCCGATGGTTTATCTCCTATATGACCTAACCTAATGCAAGTACACACGATATTAAAGCAATTAGCCAATCGAAGGCCGGTAGAGTTATGTTGGCTATTGTTGTAGTTGGCATCGTATCAACCGGAGATAAGACCAGAGTGTACTTCCACCAATCATCTGCTGAGTCTACATCTGACCACGCGTAGGGAAACCCTGGGTATGTGAAGGTTGAGTTAATTGATATGGAAATCGACTTGAGTGATGAATCTAGGTGGGTGTGTTGGTATTGTGTTTCATTATCTGGTGTAAAAGGTTTCATGGCACCTCTGGTGTGGGAGTTACTAAGATGCAGTATTGAATTTTCCTATTGCTATTATGGACTTTATAGTT